GTTAGCTTATTAGAAGAAAAAGTTATAATCTCCCTTGTAATGACTGCTTTAGCTCCCTGCCAAACCAGGGAGACTTTTCTATTATCATTATTATAAAATTCTTTTTTATTTTTTAATTCAGCGCTGATGTTTTCTAATGCCAGTGTTAGCTTCATTGATATTATGGCATGATCTGATACATCTATCTTGCCCCTATAGCCGTGTTTTACTTTTTCTAATCAGAGTTATGCATAAAGAAAAAAAAGAGTGGTATGTATAGTCTTTTTCTTGGGGATGTAACGGTCTCCAAACATCTATAATACTAATTTCTGCTTCTCCCCTCTTAAACAATACTTACAGTATGTTTTCTCTGATTTATGATTTATGCTATGCTGACAGTATATCTTTTGATCTATAATCAAGTTGAAGTCTCCCACAATTATTGTTGTACCCTTTGCTTCTGCTTTCCAAGCTTTTTACAAAAAATACAGACAGACAGAAAAACAAAAAACAAATCAAGACAAGGGTTATGATTAATGATATGAGTACAGGGCAGCCTATTGTAAAGGATTACCGTGTGTCTGTGTGAGTGTATATGTAAGTGTTGAGGAGCAACAAGGGGGGGGTGGTGTGTTAGCTGAGAAATAGGAAGAGGAGCTTTCCGAGTTGTTATTTTAAATAAAATTATTTAAAGCAATTACTTTCAATGTTTTCCTGACAAAACAGGTTAGACAGGTTATAGGGTTCAGTGCTTTAAATTAAGTTGGTGAGAAAAGAAAAAAATCTCCCTCTTCTAACAGGTGGAACTGTGTGGGATTTCTGGGTACCGCATGAGAGCACACACACACACAGTACACAAACAGACTTACAGGTATTAAAAAAAGTGCAATGTGCAATTGGCACCTCAGTAGCAAAGGTCCATGTGTTCACATGAGAACGATGAGATATTCAAACTTTCCAAAGGATGCTCAGTTTACAGTCCACCCACATGAACAGTCATTATAGTGGTAAATCCAGTACTGACACTATGAGCTTATTGGCCCCACAGTAATTAAGGTTTCATCTTGACTTTGGTCTCATCACATGTTTATTCACTGTGGGTCCAAAATCTAAACTGTACAGTCAACCAAACCTTTGGAGACGACCGAGATGTTGTCATTTTTTAAAGACTTTGCTGGTCAAAATAAGGGAAGCAAGCTAGGTAAAACCTCCAAAAATGGATTGGAAGAAGGACATTTTGAAAGTTATTCAATTTCAAATAATAGTTTTAATTTAAATTTTCAATTAACTTTTGAGGCATTTTTTCCCTCCCATACCTCAAGTCCCACAATCCTCAGCAGCTTTTCAAAATCAAATCAAATCTCTTTGAGTCATGTCATCAGTCGATGGGTGTGAGAAAGAGAAAAGAGGACGTTGCCAGAAACAAAGACACAAGACTCTCTCTCTACATTCAGCTGCGCAATACAGAGGTAAGATAACCAATTCAGCTTGAATCTTATTGTTATAGTATCAAGGTTATTTTCAATTTATACATTTGTTTACATTTTGTTATGTAACTACAATATGGGAAATTCAAGCTACCAGCACACTTCTTCTGTGAAACTTCACGTTGTAATGGATATTATTTTATACATTTAAAAGTTACTAAATACATCATATTTATTATAGAGGCAAAATCTCCATGAAGATTTACTGGAAAGAATCTTTTAGTTTGTAACTAAAATTTAACTAAAAAAGTAACTAGTCTGCATCGTAGTTCTCCGGAGTGTCTTTTAGTTTTCCTTTCAGGCTTTCTTCTTGTTTACCTTATGATCAGAGTTAAAAGCAACTCATACCAAAGCAGTTTTAAGAAATGATTTGCCAGATATCTTGTGATAAAATAATACATGTAGCACTTGGTATATACACTTTATCGATTTGTTTAATTTTGGTAATGTGGAAATAAGATACCTAAATCTAAAATCATGTTGTGAAGCTGTTGTTCTAAATGTCTAAATACAGCATTTCAAATGGAAGTATAAAAAGTGTACCACAGTGTCAGTTTAGAAGTAGTCGACAACACCACAGCAGGGTTATCCTTAGTGAAAGCCCTGAAACTTTTGTGCAGGTGGCACGCTGTATTTGTTAAGGAAACCTCAAGCTTTGGCATTGTAACTGAACATTTACCAACAGGTGTGTGACATCTGAGTGTGTGAGGCTCTAAAAGTGACATGAAAGAGACGACTTTTCACACTCCTGCAGGTTTTCTCTGCAGGATTTTTAGCTCCCTCAGTCTCCTTCTGCCATGCCACGGTCGTTCCTCGTCAAGAGTAAAAGGACTCATCTAGCTGGCCCATCCAAGGACTCCTTTAGACAACACTTCCAGCCCAAAACAGATGCCAACCAACCTGTGCAGCATGCAGTGGGACAGGAGAGAAGGTATTCTGAAAATGATGTGCAGCCTTTGTCCCCCACGGTAGAGGTCAAAGACATTCTGGCTGAAGGCTGCCCACCGTGGGATGGCACAGCAGTCCGGTCTGACAGTGCCCCCACAGTTGATCCTTGGCCTTCAGGTACCTAACACATTCTCTAGCAGTGAAAAGTTTTATTTTTTGTGACTGTAAAATGCTTATAAGGTAGTAAATGTTGTTTGAATGGCATGTGAAAGTGATGCCAACGGGGAGATGAAGATGAGAAGTTATGAAATATTCTGGATTTATTTTTGTAAACTCAGCAAAGACTCTAAATTCCCAACCTTTCTCTAAACTCTAAACTAAAGACATTCCCATCATCATCTGTCTTTTATATTCTAAAAAAAAAGCCCCTGTGGAGAAAAGAGACACTCCTCTGCTGGTATCACCTTGGTTGGTGGACAGAAACCAGGCATCTGAAAGAGAGAGAGAACTGGAGAGACTGGTCTTCATGTTACTCAACCACACATCACACACTGACCTCAAATCCCGCGTCAGCGAGTGTCCACTGTGTGAAAAGGTAGGTGGCCCTTACTGTGTGTCTTTATCTGCTATTATAATGAAAAGAAGAAGTCAAAGTGACTAACGATAAAAGTAACTGGCAACATGTCAGAGGGTGACACAGCAGAGTGGTGGGTGCAGTCTGTGCTGCTCTACAGGAGTATGAGTGACATGGTTCTCGTTGTTGTGGAGATATTTTGCAATAGAAAGTAGATATTAAAAGTAATATCCAAAAAGATAACTGGTCTGCACTGAACTTCACGATATCTGCATTTTACTTCTGCTAGTGAAAACTCTCGAGGGAAAATGGTGCATGTAATTGATTCTATTTTCTTTTCAAAAATAAGTGATCAGTAAATGTCTGTCACCAATCACTTAACTAGAGCCTGATTGATATTGGATTTTTTAGATTGGTGCTGATATCAATAACCTATAATAATATACACAATATATCAGCAAATTTGTTTGATTAAGGTTTGATTAGGATGCCAGTGTGTAACATTTAGGAGGCTTTATTGGAAGAAACTGAATACAAACTAAATATAATATAGCTATTAGTGCATACTACTACTACTACAAATAATAATAATAATAATGATAAAGTTGTTAATGCTTTCTTTATGGACAAGCTAAGTAGTGGTGGCACTGTTCTTGAAATGCCCACAAACATATCCTCAAGCATTTCTTGTTACTTATTAGCTGATACACACACAGATATATCTGCAATAAGCTATCGATCAATAGGCCTATATCAACCAGGTTGACCAGGTCTAGCTCTTCTGTTAAAAGAATAGTTTGCCATTGTAGGAAATGTGCTTATTTCACTTTCTGGTACAAAGTTAGATGAGAACATTGATATTCTCTACTGCCAGCATGCAGCTGGTTAGCTTAGCTTAGCATAAATACTGGAAGCAGGGGGAAACTGATAGCATGGCTCTGTCCAATGGCACCAAAATCTGAAAACCAGACGAACGTTGTTTGATTTGTTTTCAGTTGTACCGGTTACATATGTGTGTATCAGAGTTGACATCAGCAGGTGCTCGTCGAACGCTGATATATTTTCTGGAACTGCTGGTGCTTTTAACCACTACAGTTTATTTTAAATACCTCGCTTTGACATTAGGTTTACTCTGTGCCGCCCAGCTGCAGTAACCTGTACAGTTTGACTCTGTAATCTTGTAAAAATGTGTTTAATTGGAACAAAGGAGATTGTGGCAGATGCTCTTCTGACTGACTGGCAATGACAACACTGATAGCAGCCTTGGGTTAGTAATGTATTGTTGGCATTTCATTTTCATAGTTTGTATGGTACTTTGTGCCATTACAAAGGTCTAAACATAGATTAATTGTCAATAATAATATAAGGTATTACTAATATAAGCACCCCAATATGGCTGTCAGCCCAGAACATGTGTTATTAAAGTATTTTATTGAACTAAATTGACTTTGTTTTTTCCAGGAAGAACTGGCAGCATTTAAACTGAGAAATACGACCTACATAAAAACTGATTTTTACTTTTAAGTATATGTTTTTTCCAAAACATGAATTGTATTACAACAAAAGGCAAATGAGGCCAAAAACTGGACATTGACTAAACTGTCCCCAAACTCCAATCTCCAAACCCAAACAGGTTAAACCGGTAAAGATACATTATAGCAGCTTAATTACACCTTTCAAAGCTACCACATTCATTATTGAATAAAAACATCTGTGATTTGGCACCTACACTACCCACTACCCACAATGTAACTCAAACACCGAGTGGCTAACGTAGCCTCAAGCAGAGATGAGGAGCGGACTACGGAGGTCTAATGAGCTCACTTCTTTCTAACTCCACACCTCCAGATTTTTTGTTTTGTTTTGAATCTTCAGCCCCAACTGATGCTGACTCAAGTGACATCACTAGAGGACAACCATCAGACATCACACAGCTACCTCTGGAGACACTAAAGGCTTTATACAACTTTTTAACATATGTAGTAGTGCTTCCCAAAGACCTGTGAACAGACTTTAATGTGTGAAATTGCTGGAGTCCCCCTTTAAACGACAGTTCTCAGTAGATCTCACCTCTACACCGAGCTGGAAGACTGATCAGACGGGGAGGGATTCCAGATGTTGTGAACTCCGTGAGCCTGGTCTGTTAAATGACCTCCTTCTCCAAGTGATGCTGAGCGTGCTCCTTCAAAAATACATTCATACAGTCCTTTTATAACGTCTTCACACAACCACAGAGAGAAAATACCACCAAGTACAAAGAACAGTTCATAATGTTTATTGTGGTAACCTGCAGGAGTCTCATTTATCTTATTTATAAAATGTTGGTTACAGCTTTGATACTAACTGGTGGTTGATGTTTTCACATTGGGAAGACAAAACTTCAGTGAATCAGTTGTTTACTGTTGAAACAAAACTTTCTGTTCAAACAGGATGTATCTACATTAGCATCCACCCCCAGAGTGCCCGACAACAATTGTTTTCTGTGCTTGCAAACTGAAACGTGTGCTGATCCTGACTTTGCTCAATAAACTGAGTCGCAGCTCCACTTAAATGTCAGAAACTGAAGATTTGTAGGTTAGCCTTTAAACAAAGAAATGTTTTTTAAAATTAAACCTAAAATCTTCTGAAACCACAACGTGCGTGTGACATTTTTTACGACTTCATGAATATGAAAATAAAAAATGTTCTATGTTAGCAGCTCTAGGAGACACAATAGGCACATTGGTGCTTTGAGCTAAATGCTAACATGTTAATGTTCGGCAAGTAAGTGTAACGTTTAACGTTTGCTAATTAACACAAAGAGATGAGAATGTCATTAGTTTTGCATGTATTTGGTCATAAATCAAAGTACTGAACACAAATTAAAATTCAGCCAAATCCCTTCAAACCCAAATTATCCTGTTAACATAGCAAATGCAAAACCTTTTGTGAACTGACTGCGTGTTGAAATAGTTGTTCTGTGTTACATTAATCAGTGATCAACAGTAGAAAAACAGACATTCATGGATAAGATGATGATGATGAAGTACTTTTAATTTGTCCAGTTCATATGCCGAAGACGTTTTTGGACGATACAGTATTTGGCACCATAACTTTTCAGTGACAGAAGGAAGCTGATCTCATTACCTGTGTAATAGTAGATGCACCACAGCCCCCCCATCAGACCGACACCCATCACAAAGGCAGCAAAGACGATTCCCATCACTGGTCCTGTCTGCACCACAGAGCCTACAGACAGAGAGGGTTCATGAGGGAGTGTGCTGATGGATTAAACAGTCCCACGGTGACATTAAAAAAATACCAAATAAATGCTACTCACTGATGTGCTCTGGGTCTGGACTCTCCACTGCGCTCAGTCTCTTGGTCCTTTGGCCAACAGGGGGCCTCAGCTGTTTGGGTGCACTAATATGCTGAGTGACCACCATCGGCCTGGAGAGGTTTCTGATCTCACACTGAGAGGAGAATATGTTTATACATATCTGCAATACAATATATAATACTATAATAATATATAGTAGTGTAATTATATTGTTGCTATGATACCAGTAAGTGTGAGTGTGATTCAGTACTAAGTAGACAGGATAAACAATGTATCTACACTCCTCAAGCTTTTCATATAGCTGAACTTTGACCTTTTATTAGTTTTTACTATTACTATTAGTAGTATTTCCTATACCTGTTATATAAACCTACAAACAAGCTTTCTGGAGGTCTGTCACCTATTAAAGAGTAAACATTTTGTTTGGGTCATTTTAAAGCAGCATGAAGATTAATACCACCCTGTGTGAATTAATGCGAATGCTAAATATATACGTCTACAGCTAGCAGCCGGGTAGCTTCAGTTAGCATAAAGACAGGAAGAAGCCAGCCTAACAAAATACCATACAAACAACCAGTTATTATAGTTTTGTATTTAGTGAGGTTTTATTTCTATTTTATTTTTGGTTTTAGGGTTAGGGTAGTGTCAGTTAGTTTCCAGAGGGAGTTTGCTTGTTTCAGTTTAGTTTTTATTGTTTAAAATGTTTAAATTTAGTTTAGTTTGTATTAGTTTCAATGAATGGTTTAGGGTTTTTTTCCTCCAGGGACAAGAATTAAGAAGTTAAGAATAGCTACTCCTTGTTTTAGGTTTAGTTTTAGTTAACTATAAGAACCTTGGTACCAACAGTGCTGAATTTGTTTTGTACAAATTAAATAAAACAGATTAATTATTTCGCTTTAGAGTTGCTGGTTGTTGACAGAGCCAGGCTAGCTGTTTCCCCCCATTTTCAGTCTTTATGCTAAGCTAAGCTGAGAGTGGTATCAATATTTACACCTCATGTCCAACTATTTCTTAAACGTTCCACATTATTGCATTTGACAGGATGCTTTATCCTGCATTAGTAAATAAAAACCATTAAAAACACATCAATGAGCCACACTGTATCACACGTTACTCCATTAACATGAACACACTGTAGTAATAAAATGTAACCCCAGTGTACCTGATGTCTGTGTGATCTAGATACAAGTGGAGGGATACGTATCCCGTCCTTACAGTCATTCTTGACTGTTTCCTTCATGGGTTCCCCTCTTGTTGAGTCAGAGACACAAAGGCGGAGGCTGCAGTGGAGGAACTGCATAGGGTCATTATAAACTGGCCGCAGGATGAAACTAAATCTCAAAGACTGTATCTCCTCCTCTGTTACCACACTTTCTGGTGCTTCTCCCCTTCTTCTTTCACCTTTGTGTCGGAGTAAGACTCCCCCACCTCTCTCATGAGTTCTGCCTTTTTCCAGTCCCTCCATCTCTTCCTTCTCCTCTTCCAGTTCCCCATCACCTTCTGCCTCTTTGTCCTCTTCATCATTTCCATCTAGGGTCAGTGAGGGGTTTGAGGAACATCCGTCGCTTATGACAGTCCAGAAACGAGACTTTTTTGGGTCCGACAGGGGAGAGACCACACATGAGTTCACATCCACGACTTCTATGAGGGGCCCTTTGGCTGAGATCTAAAGTACGACAGAATGAAACCGTGATGAAGGAGACAAACAGTAGTTAAATGTTTGATGTATGAACAGGATTTAATGAGAGTGATGATGCACATCATTAGAGCCAAAAATAATAATAAAAAGTCAACACCAATGAAGTTCTTGACTTCGGTGTTGTTGAAGGTGTTCTTCAAAAAAGGCAAATAATCACAGAAAATACACAACACACACACACAGACCTCAACATAGACACGGTGGTCTGCAGTTATGACGCAGGGGCCAACCCGTCCCTGCTCGTAGCTCTCTGTGACAAACAGCTTCAAAATAAGAACAGGCCCAGGTCTGCGTCTGGGTATCGGTACGTGGCTCATTCCTGTATCAGGCCCTGGACCCTTGGGTGCCCAGGGGACCGGCCCTGCCTGAGGAGTGTTTACATTAACATCATCACTGTGTGCAGGGGGGCCGGGGAGGGTGGGGACTGCAGCAAAACAGCTGAACTGAGAGCAGAAACAGGAGATTACAGGATGAAAACACTGAATGAATAAGATTTATGAAGGTAGCACACACACAGATATCTTACATGTATGCCTAGTGGACTTTTGGACTTCTTCTCTGTGTCATTGAGGGCGAGAATGGTCTCAGGTTTGTCTCTCCATAATAACACCTGGACAGAGACAACGAGGAGAGGAAAATAGAACGGTGGACAGTATAATATAATCCACTATCATCTATGTAAGCTCCGTTTTCTACATTGTGAGGCAGCTGGACAAAATCATAAAATTGTTTTTCAGTAATTTCTGTGAAGAAAACTAAAAGAAATTGTTATATTTAAAGTATACATTATTATTAAAGATATAAAATTAAAAAAAAAAGTCACAATAAGACCTGAACACAAGCTATATTCACAGAGCCTTCAGTCTCTGCTAAACAGTCATTACGTACATTAGAAAAGTACGCAATTAAGAGCAAATAGAACAATGGTTAGAGAATAAAATACAGAATTTGTCAAAAAAGAAGCCTTTTTAGTGCGTATGATAGTTAAAAATTTAAAAAATACATAATACAATACAATATTCACATGAAATAATCGGCTCCACATCCACACATATCAGTGTTTCAATACATATTCCTCCTCCTCTGTTTGTCTCTTTTCACTCTTCTGAAATCACTCTGCCCTGCTCCTGCTTCTTTCTCCCAATTTCCTGCCTCTGAACTGATTTCTTTCACTTAATTTGCCTCTGTGCAGCCTCCCATTTTTAGGCTTTAACTCAGCGTTGTTTTGGTCATGATGACCTGGGTCACAAGTCTCACTGGGGACAACTTCCACTTATCACAATTTTAATGGTCCATTATGCTTTGTGTTTTTGCTTTTACCACTGTCTGAATTTGTATGTTTTCCTTCTGTGCTCCCAAAGCTTCACTCGTTCTGTTTCTGCTGTTTCTCTTATTTATTTTCTCTGCCTCCTTCTGTTGGTTTATGGAAATGATTTTAACAACGATAACATAATAATAATAATAATAATAATATGGATAATCTTATAAATTCATATGGAGTAAAATAGACAAACTGAATATAAGGTTTAATAGACAACAAAGAATTAATGGTACAATAATTTTTTATATCTCTAATCCCTCTCTGTCCACTGTGAATCTCACCATGTTTTTGTACTGCACCCCTCTGGGCTGTCCCAGGAGCAGACCCTCAGTCCCACAGGAAATGACTGGGAACGCCAACAGGAAATGGCTCCCATTGGACTGAGCCTGGCACGTCGAGTCACGTAAGGTCACAGCAGCCACAGGGACAGAAAAGCTCTGAAAGAGAGAACTGATGTGAGACAAAGTAACTCTCAAATTCAATAATATTTCTGTCTAACCGGCCCTTTAAATAGGATGTTTACGAGACATTAAAAAAAGGTTAGTATTTTGGTTGCAAGTTCCTAATTTGCTGCTGTCTCTGCACCACTGCAAGCAGCTGCTAGGCATTATGGCCTTTATGAAACCGCCGGTATAAAGTTGAGGTAGCTGGCTTCTCTCTGTATGATTTGTTTACATCTAACTCTGCGTCTGATACTGAGGTATGAAGACCTGCAGGATGTGTTGGTCCACGGTCACGCTGAGGCGTCCGTCCTCACACTGCACTGTGAAACTCTCTCGACCTCCTCCTGCTTTGCCTCCGCCGTTCAGCCACTGCCTCAGCCTGTGCTCCTCCGCCCAGGGAGGCCTCACAACCAGAGGATTCATCTCTGCAACCACGTCTGTGGTACAGACAGAGAGGAGACACAGTGAAGCCGTGCGGAGACATTAAATACTCACACTTACTCTTCAGTACCTTTCATTCAACATATATGCACCGATGGAAACATTCTGCTCTCATTTCTCATTCTCTATTTAAAAAAGGGACACAGAAGACCGAGCCAAAAATTCTCCTGTACATAAAAGAAAATATGAAATCACTGGGTTGGATTAATAAAATAAAGCTGAAACGTTCAGGTCACTCACACAGGGATGGAAACAAGAGACACACAGGGGTCCTGACCTGTCCCGCCCCCAGCCAGCTGGATCACAAAGCGATTGGCCAGGTCAGCCTCAGTGTATGAGGTCACCCTGGGGTAGCCGCTCTCACTGGCCCATGCAAGCAGATCCGAGATGGTGGACAGGTCAGAGTTCAGTGTACTGGACAGGGTCAGGTCAGGCTCAGGTGGGTAGGGTGGGGATACACTGTTGGAGGACTACAGAGAAAGAGAGAGAACTCAGATACATGTCAATCATTAGTCAGATAAATCTTAATGCAGCCCTAAAGTTATAATGTGGACAACAAAGTGGAGCTGAGGAGGGATGAGGAAGGAGGTCTTTCAAGGTAAACGTGTCCAAAATCCTGAGAAGATGTGAAATTTTGAAATTGAAGTTGGAGGTTTTCCTATTTTCCCAGTTTTCTGGAATTAAATAGATTTAGCCATAGTGGCTTGTGAGCTTTTTGACATTACTGTCTCTGGCAGCAATAGTCCCTGCTGATGATTTAAATATTTAAACCAAGTTAGAATGGAAACTTTTTTTTGGTAACTCATTTCCTTAAAAAGCTGGTGCTTTTTAGCCCACATCCTGTTGAAACAGGAGTACATGGAGCATTTGCTATTAGGACTATTTTCATCTGCGGACTGATACACATTTGGTGCTCTAGTGAGTATTTATGGCAGGAGGCTGGTATATGTAGGACTGAGTCAAAATAAACTACAGTGTGTTCATGGTAATGGAGTAACGTGTGATACAGTGTGGCTCACTGATGTGTTTTTAATGGTTTTTGGACAACAAAGGAGCTCTAAGGCACAGAGGAAGAAGAGCCAGGCTTCAGCTACACAGACAATACTTATCAATGGGATCAATAACTTGTTGGTTTGGTCTTTTCACGGGTTTTATTGACAATATGAAAAGTATAGAATAACGCCAGCCTCATCCATTCAAGTCAATTTGCTGTATCTTTAAAAACGACTCTCCTGCAGTCAGATTCAAATTCTTAAACCGTGCTGTGGAAAAACAAAAAGTAATGGGACCCTTACATGAACGGAGATATGACCCCGCACACCGTGAGCAACAATGGCCCAGTTGACTGGCACCGAGCTGCTGAGAATCAGTACAACCTTCTGGGTCTTTGAGTTGGCCACAAGGGGCACGAGAGAGACAATCACCTCCACTTGGAGAGAGCTGAAGAAGATGGAGAGAGAGAAGAGATTGAACTGTACACAGGGGCGGATATAGTTCATGGGGTGGCAGAAATATATGCTGATTTAATCACAAACAATCACATATAGAATTGTTGAAGAACTCTAAGACACTCAAGAGGATAGTTCTTTCACCTTTTTTTTCCACACACACGTATTCACTTGGAAAAGCCCCCAAATGAAGATATTTTAACTCAAAAACATTGAACATTATGGCACATTAGTAAAACATTGAATAGAAATATCTAAAGGTGGCATTAGAAATCAATAATGTGTGTAAAATGTGGCCATAACAGATCATTAATTAGTATTTTTGAAATTAATCTGAATTAATGTGTTAAATCTGACTGTACAACAAATAAATGCTCTTGCCAAGACTTCATGTCCTCACCCACAGAGCCCTGAGCCCGCTGAATGGAGCTTGATCATGTGGACTTCAGGGCTCATCCCACCTGCTGGCGACTCGGCGCAACCCCGCACTTCCTGTTGCTGCAGGTCAGAGGTCATGTAGCTGTGAGAGAGGAACATGGACTGCAGCTGGCAGACAGCAGGCAGAGTTGGGTCTGTAAGATGGAGGCAAAGAAAGAGTTTTTTTTGATGAGTGTTATAGTGATGGGAATTCTGGCTCTTTTTAGAGAACCGGTTCTTTTGGCCGCTCACTAAAAAAGAACCGGCTCTTTCGGCTCCCCAAGTGGCTCCTCAAGATTTTTTGTTGCCTTAAATTAATTTATTACCAGAAAAATTATTTGTAAAATGAATATCTAATGTTAAATAACATGCAATTATTACAAATGTTTATTAATTTATATGATTATTAATATACTCAAACAATGGAAACAGAGTGCTAGCACAAAAAATAAATTATAAAATACAAAACAAAAGAAACCTTCTCAAATTAGACAAAAGCTGCTCGATATGAACACGTTTAACTTTGCAACAGTCTACAGACTCTGCCCTTTGAACTATCACATTAAAATGTTCCAACTTTACCTACCATTTCCTGTCAACTAATTTTGCCCACCTTTTCCAAGTGTGTAAGTCTCTTGTCTAGATGTACAAGTTCCATCTCACTCTCCTCCACATCTCCCTCCCAACCTGTTTCACCCTGCTCACTGTGCCCCTGTGTGTCTGTAACCCCGCCTCCCTCCCTCCCCTGCTCAGTGGTAGATTACACACACTGCCCACACATCTTGACCAAGTCACGTGGCTTTAACAGAAAAAAACGGGGGAAAAACACCAAAAATAATCCGGAAAACGGGAAAAAAATCTCTGGCTCCCAATCAGGAGCCGGCTCCCGTCGTTCACTTCAAAGAGCCGGCTCTTAGAGCTGGATCGTTCACGACCGACCCATCACTAGAGTGTTAATGATGAGTACCAAACCAGTGCACAGACGTTCAGGTTACAGCAATAGTTTGAGATTTGGGGAAATATGAGTGTTTGCTTTCTTGTAGAGAGTTAGATTAGAAGATTAAAACCACTCTTACACCTATACACGTCTGTTAAACATACGGCTATAGTCAGCATTCGGTTATCTTAGCTTAGCATAAAGACTGGAAACATTAGGAAACAGCTAGCCTGGCTCTAGCGACAAGCAAGCAAAGATATTATCTCTTATTATTTATTTACAAATATTATTATTTCTATAAATATGCAGTAAACATAAGATTGATGGGCTGTAAAGAATATCTACTAAAATGATACAAATCATCTCATCAACATGAATACAATTTAAACTACTACCACAGCTATATGAATTGAATGTGATTGTTCATCACTGTGATATCTGCTTTCTTGGCAGCTCACCCTCCCCCAGCGGGACGTAGACTCGATTGCCTTGTGCTGTATGTGTCAGAGAGGACAGGTTGCCGTGGTGCTTCAGAGCCCAGCGGTGCAGCGCACGTGGACGAAAAGGCAGCGAATGCACCGTTTGGATGTGCAAATGCAGGTTGCTGGAATGCACGCTCGAGTTGGAGGACACCTAGCACATGTGGAAGAAAGTTTTAAGAGAAAGAAAATACTGGAATGTCAGATTATTATACAGCATATAATTTAAAAACTCTTCTGCACACTGTGACTGACCTGCACCAGCACTGGGAGGTTGGGGGGCAGTCTCTCAGCCTCCAGCCACCAGGTGAGCGGGAGCTTGGAGCTGAGCAACAGGTGGAAGGCTCTGAGAGGGGAGGGGGTCAGAGATAAAGGCTTCAGCAACACCGTCACCTGCAGACAGAAGATGATAGAGGTGTCGTATGGTGTTTATACAGCCAGTCCTTGGTCATTATGATGTTCTTTCCATTTTCAGGATGTGTAACAGAAGAGTAGCTACACTTATATGAAGCCCTGAAATTGGAAAAATTTAATAAAATATTATCAGATAGGTCAAAATACATTTGTGTTGTTTGTTAGGTTAGGTTCTTAAATTCAATATTATTATTATTCATTAATATATGTTTAGTTTTTGCTACATTTAGTCAGTTTCGGGGTTCCTTACTCTTACACACAGTTTGAGTTACTGACAACCAGGTGCTTGGAGCAGACAACTTTTAGACACTGTTCACTCTATTCCTGTAAAGTTGAGTACCTTGTTTTCAAGGCTGTTTGTCACTCTCCCCACTGCAATGACATGAGTTTCCTTGTTCCCGCGTTCTCGAGCAGCACAGCCCGGACCAGCATCAAACCTCTCCAGCAGACCCTGAACAGGGTGCAGCTCCCCCACTGGACCCCCCACAGAGCATCGCACCTCCACACTTTGAGCTGAGGAGCAACAGCAGATGCAAGACTATGAAATAAAATATGAAACTCTAACTGCAGTGGGGTGTACACCACTATTCATCTATGTCAAATAACAAATAACACGAGTTATGAGTGAGCTCAGTCTCAGTCTGACAAGAGCATACTGAGCTTTAATCCCTGCCCGAGGGAGCTGGAACATTTCCCAGTAGAAACTATGCAACAATTTTCAGTTTCGCTCTGACACTTAAAATAAAAACCTTTGACTTGTGGCAGCTTGAACAGATAAAATCACATTTGTTAATGTTTTCAAAACACAGATACCATTTTTGCTGGTTTTAAGATAAATAGGCGCAATGTTCAGGAGTGATGTTCTTACCTGCTGTTCTCCTCCAGAACAAAAGGAGACAGAAAAGAGAAAATCCAACCCCGGACAGTGAAGGCATCATGAACGTTTCACTACTAGACTTACTGTGATGATCCCTCTTGAGACATCCTAGTGAACGGAAAGGTGATCATAAGACATACAGTAGATACACAGGCTAGTCTTCAGTGCTCTCTAAATAAGACAAATTAGTAACATTTTAGACAAACTGAACTGAATTATCATAGTATACATAAAAGCTACTGATAGCTAAGATAATATGAGCAGTAAAGGCATTAAACGCTGATCATTACAAATGATCATTAGAGCTGCAATGAATTGTCAATTTATTGATTTTACGAGCAACAGACTTTGATAATCAAGTAATCAGTAATTTTTCAAGCAAAATTGCCAAACATTCACTAGTTTCCAGCCACTTAAAATATGATTTTCTTTGTCATATATGCTTATGACATAAGTAAATTATTTTTGTTACAAACTCCAGATATACAAACAACATTATAAATATAATATATATATACTATAAGTCTTACATAAAGATAAAATGTACAGTTAAATAATGTGCAAAAATGAAAAAATGATTTCGTGTTTGAGTCAGATTAGCAGAGAGGGTGTCTGACTCTCTGCAAGAGGCGTGTGTAAGTTTGAATGACCACAGGCAGGAATGACAGGAAGGGTGAGAGGAGTCCTCTGGCTGAAGGTGCTCCTCTGCTGGGCCAGTGTGTCGTAGAGGAGTGTGAGACTTGTCAAGAGGACTGAAACCGGACAGCATCCTCCTCTTCCTGCCACGGTCGTGCAGATGTCCAGCTCCTCCCAGAATCACCGGGCTCCTGGATCATTTTAATTGTTGGGTGCTGCGACCTTCAGCCCACTGCCAGCATGTGCAGTGAAGATCGCACTGGCCACAACAGACCATTAAAACATTCTCTAGCATAGTCTGACAGATGTTAAAATGGACCTCAGCCTCCTTAGGAAAAAGAGTCGGGTTTGGCCCTTCTTGTAGACCACCTCAGTGTTATCTTGACTGGTTTTGTGGTAATTATAGTAGTTGTGTTGTGTTGTAAGTGAGAATTATTAGATTTAGATTTTAAAATTATGATATAATAATAAATTACATGAGAGATAAATATTTAAAAAATTGAGGTATTAAGTCTTGTAAAACACGATGAGATCATAAGTTAAATCATAAAGAGATACAAATTAAAACTTTTTTTTTCTTTCTGATTTTCTTATAATTGCGACTAACCACCATCATTTCCATTAATATCATGAACTTTCTTTCTTCCATAGATGGGCTGAAATTTGAATGCACTTTCTGTTTGTGTTTTTACATCCGATTGTTTTTCCAAAATGCAGCCAACATGAATATCAGTCTAAAGTGTGCTGGTCAGAAAGGAAAATGAGCCTCCTGAGAATGAGGGGGAAGTTCAACTTTGAGCAACAAGTAAGTTAAAGAGGAATATATTAAATATCACAGCGACTAATACAACAACTTAATATGGTGCATAAGGTAAGAAAAGATCATTTTCCACCCAGTTACATTACAGTTTATATTGCAGCAATTAATTATTATTCCCAAAAGGATTCCAAAGCCAGCTCATATTATCCGTGTCCAGAGTGAATCTAAAAGTCTAAAGAAAACATTTTGCTGGAGTAAACATGAGAAGAAAAGCTGAACTCACCTGCGGCGCTGCACGGAGGGACAGGCGGACTGCTGATCCAGCTGTTGCACTGCTGTGTTCACAACTCAACAACACACGCCCCCCTCATTTCCTAAACACACAACCACGCAGTCACACACACCCTCCACATCTCCAAGCGCGCAAAAATACTCAACTCTCAGCCGCGTGTCGCGTCGGGCATCTTCATCCAGCTGAGGTGAAGTATTTCTCAGCGCCGAGTGGGAGCGAAGGGGAGAGAAGTTGTAAAGACACAATTAAAGGAGCAATGGGAGGGACTGTGGGATGGTGTGACAGAGTGGAGAGAGGGATGGCGAGGAGAGGAATAAAAGGCTCTGAAAAAACGTCTCCAAGCGTAGATGGCAACAGGAAGGAGGGCTGCAAGGGAGAGAAGGAGGGAAGAGGAGGGGAGGTGGGAGGGATGGAGGAGGAGGAGGGTGGACCTCGGGGGTTTGACTGGCAGGTGAAAAGTTTTGGAGGGGAGTAAACACACATATTGTGCCCTCTCTCTGACCCTCAATAATATTGGAATATTAATGACATGGATCATATTTTCCATTTTGAGTAAAGATGTGGCATTTTTAAATTTACTTCAGCATTCATTCATTAGTTCATTCACTCATTCATTTCCAGAGCAAATCAGTGCTGTGAGAAATGAATAAAAAGGACATAAAAGCTACAATATGCTGCAGCCAGATTCAGATTCACTTCCATTGCACGTCGTCATATACCGGCTGTGTCTTTTCTGTTTTATCTATTTATATAAAATTCAACCACCATTTAAGTTTTATGAGTTTGGACGGTTGATGTTTTCAAACTGCTGCTGTAAAAAACTATTTTAAACATGTCAGCTTACTTCACTTCAGACTGTGGCTGTGAAAACAGTTTCTGTATATATAAGATTTAGAACAAAAAAACAAAAAACATGTTAAAGGACCAGTGTGTAGGATTAAGTGGTGGGAACATGGCGGTGCAACCATTGGCAGTGTATATAATGTACAGAGCTTCCGGGTCTGAAAAGTGAAGCCAACGTGAAAGTGTCTTAAAACCTGCATTTTATGTAAAGGCCAGCAGGGGGAGCTCCACTGGCTGCAATAACACAGCGATCCCATTCACTGTAATGGAGAATGAGCCGACTTGTCACTTAATTTATGAGCTCAGTAAACAGTTTCTTGATGAGTTTAGGGTCTCAGTTGTTAGTTTAACATCTTCTTCCATACAGCATGATGTTCATTTAGTAAATTATGGTCAAATTCAGAGTAAAATAGACGATAAAGCAGCGTGTGCTTTTGGCCGGGGCTACCTTTTGATTGACAGGTCATTCTCAGTGTGTCTGTCCAGCACAGCACACGAAACTCAAACAAACAGATCAAACTGTCAAACTAGGCAGTGCTGATCAAATACGAAGCTAGATTTGGTTACTGCGTTGCCTATTTCTCACTTAAAATCATTTAACAAACATATTTTACTGTTTCGCTGTAATACGAGATTGTGTGCGACAAGGCGAGCCACCAAACTGTAAACTCGCAGTACAGCACGTCTTCTGGCTTGTGCTGGCTCCGTCTGTCACTGTATAAGCTGGTTTTAGGACTGACAATAATCAACAGAAATGAGGAAGTTTATGACGTTCTGGATTCAGTGTGAATATTGTTATTCATGTCCAAACACTAGTAATGGCAGGACCTCCACAGATAGTTTTCATATAATATTAACAATCTGTTTCTCTTTATGGGAGTGATAAAAATAATATATCTGACACTGTCACAATAAATATTGAATATCATATCCTTAACAAAGATACTTAAGATTTTGAGAAATACATTCTCACCTTAAAAAATGTATTAAACCATATTGGGGCCATTGTGGGGCTGCGGTTTAGAGGTAGAGCGGGTGTCCACTAGTCCGCAGGCCATCAGTGTGTGTGTGTGTGTGTTGTGTGGTGTGGTCGTGTGGTGTGGTATTGTGGGAGTGAATTAATTTATGTCTGGTTTTTCTAGATGAGCCAGGGATTGCGGCACCTGTGCATGGGCAGCCTCTCCCATCAGTGTATGAATGTGTGTGTGAATGAATGTGTGTGAATGGGTGAAAGCTAGACTAGAGATATGATGTCTTTATGTACAGTAGACATATGATCTTCTCTACAACTTGATTTAATGTGTTTAATAATTACTTCTCTCATCTCTTTTTTACTGTCATGTGATTGTAACTCTAACACTGTATGGTTGATCCAACATATCATCTGAAGTGACCCGCATGACAAACACATATTTGGAGTGACGTGAAAGCCACATAAACTTTGATATGACTGCTCACACGTTGCCAAATCTGAATTTAAAGGAAGTGATTCTGTGTGATTTGTGCTGTTCACACTGTCATTAAAAAATGAGATTTGGGCCACTTGTACCTGCGGTGTGAACGCAGCTTTTGTGTGAATGACAGGATGTCAACATTAACTTTATTCTAGTGTGCTCCTTTAAGAATACACACACTTCTTAAGAAGTGTGGGACGGACTCTACATATGTTTTACTAAATAGGCTGCTGGTGTGGAATTTAAAAGATGTTGACATTTACCTGGCAGGAAGCATATAAAGCTATTGAGTTGCATCATGGGAATTGTAGGATTTTTTTTATTACCAAAACTAGGGCTTATTGAGCTCAAAAGTACAATACTTAATCCCTGGAGTGCCCCGTTGTTTGTTTGTTGTTTGATGTAATGATAAGTGCATCATATATTCATGTTATTATTATTTATAATTATTATTTATTAAAAATTAAGCATCAATAAACAGTTAGTCTCATTGTTTCACTGCTTCATTTTATTTATTTTATTATATTTAGCTGATTATTTTAAACCTGATTTAATGTAACTGAAGCACTTATAAACTTTAATTGCTTTTGATACTTTTTATTTTTATTTTTTACACACCATGTGTTTTGCACTCTTCATCCTCTTTTTCCATTTTCACTCCCACTAATAATTCCAAGAATGTTTTTAGTGATGACTATTTCAGGACACCATTAACAACAACAGCTGGGACCCGGCCTGGCTCTGCATCAGTCTCCATTTACAAGCATTTACTGTACACCATCTAACAATCTACCCCCTGTTACTCAGAGATGGAAAGTATTTTTTGAGTTTGGAGAATTGATGTGAACACGAATCCCTGTCCTGGTGTCAGTGTGACCCTTAGACAAAATGTACCTCCTGTTCTGTGCCAAAATATTCAATTAATATATTCAAAGACACTCTGTAAACATCTACACAATCTGTCATCAGTTGTTTTCCTATGGCGGTAATCACAGTCTGCATTATGTCACTGTGTCAGAAGAAGAAAGACAAGTATCTAAAGAACATTGTCTGCTGTCGACATCTGTCACCATAATCCACTAATGCACAACATCTAACAGTCTTCCTCTCTCAACACTAGAATAACACAATAACACATCTGCTCAGGTTGGAAGAAAGTTAATTCACTTTTTGCTCCATTGTCCCTGAGCACAGTCATCTTCCTCATCACTGACCTATTATTTATTTCATGACTCTCTCTGCTTTGGCCCAGGTGTTGCCTCAAGAAGCTGCTAATGACTGCCGACATATTGACGAGGAAAATCCACTGGTGACAATAAATGATCGATGCATCTATGGCGGGTTCACATCTTTACTGAGTCACAGTTCCAACACATTTCACCAGCAAATGACAGAGAAGGAAACACAGATGGAAAAAAAAACAATAAATCACAAAAAAATAACAAAATCTGTAAAAGCTTTTTTGTCATTGAAAAATGATTGTAGTTAAAAATCTGTTGTACCGAAAGACAGTGGAAAGAGAAGATGATGAAATGTCCTATGTGAGATTGAGCACAGACACACAACCCCCCCCCCCCCC